TAAAAAAAAAATTTAAATTTTATTATTTTTGTGTGAGTGTACCGTCAAATCAGATCTGACTGGTACAGGAGGAGATTGTCCCTCCTTCTCCGGCAGAGCACCTGGTGGATTCGAACCATGCGCCTCTGGGATTGTAGTTGCAGCTCCTTGCCACTAGGCCACCAGAGCTCCCTATAAATTATATACTTTAACATAAAGAATGACCTTTATCTTTTTTAAAACTTTTAAAATATTTTATCATTCCTATACACTGTGTTTCATGCATGCACACTGTGTTTTCTAGAATCTTTCATTTATATTGTATTTTATTAATGTATACTGTGGGTTACCTTTTTTTTACAGTTTAATTGGTCATATTTTCTATAATGAATGTATAATGCTCTTATAATTGCAAAAACTAGACAAGTATCAACCTCTGTCTTGAGTTTTCAGGATTAAAATACTGATGTTTACACATACCTTTGAGAGTTCGCACTTGGTTCTGCTTTAGCACAGAGTTCAAGTAGTGAGGTGATAAGGAACCACTGAAAAATACAGAGAAAAGACAACGTATTTATCAAAACCTTAATGGTGCTTTTTGCAAAATTTGTAGCAAAGATAGCTATTTTATACAGGAGAAAGGAAACACTATGTGCTTTGCTTTCTTTGCTCAGTTTAGGAAGGACCTACAAACAGGAAAACATGTATGGGATTTACAGTCCAAAAGATCCCTGACAGAATCACAGCTAGTCAGGTGACACAGATAAAAAAAAATAATCTCATACTCTCTTCATTTGTTAAAAAAACCAAACAACTAAACCCATTGTCACTGAGTCAAGTCTGACTGCAGGGACCCTCCCTTGGTTTCTTGAGGCTATCCAGCTATCTAGAAACTGGTCATCTTTCTCTCATGGATTTGAAATGCCAAGTTTAGCATTAGCCCAACACTATACCACAAAGTTCCCCTCAGGTGTAAAGTAAGAATAATGGAAACTTTCACACAGAGTTGTGAAAATTAAATTCAATTATAATACATAATAGACATGTAGTTTTGTATTCAGTGCTTAAGGATGATCTATTAGTATAAGTATTACAATAGAAATGAGAGTTTATCTAAACAAATGTCTAAAGAACGGTAACAATGTCAAACAGAAAATTATATTTGCTGTGTCTATGAAAGGAAACCTGCATTTTAGTAAACTTAAAAAAACCCCACCTGACAGGAATCCAGAATGAAGGCTGCAAAGTGGAGTGGACTTGGGGGTAGGGATTATATAACAATGAAAGAGTTTTTCTTTTACTTTTCAAAGAGAAGAGTGAATTAGGGGGGAGGGCAGGGGCAGGGAGAAAAGTGCAACGATGAATGGATGGAAACCCTAAGTCTCTGCAAACTCTCATTAAAATTAACAAAAAAATCACTAAAAAAACCCACAAAACCCAACAAAAACCCTCTCTAGGAAATTTATTTTCTCTGGAATCTGTGATTATATATTTTAAAAACCCCGTTTCTTTAATTAAATCTATTTCCTATTCGGTTAAAACCAAATTAACACACACCATTAGCTCAATCATCCTTAAAAAAATTAGAACATGAAAAGGCTACACAGAGGTACAGAGGACACTGTTATTTTGCCAAAGAACAAAGAGGAAAAAATGTTTCATTTCACACTGAGATGTTTTAAACTCAAAGATCTTTTATTTCAATATTATTCCTTTGTCTTTTTTCCTTTTCATGACACAAATTTACTTACCATCTACACATGGTAAAGAACACAATGAAAATGCAAAATATCAAACGCATATTTGTGATAGTTTACAAAAATTAGTAACAAATCTTTCATTTAACCTTTATTAATAAAACAGCATAGTTAAAAAAATACTGTAACTATTAACAAAACTTTTAATTTCTAATTCATCATTTTTTATGAGAATACCTCACAAGCACCCCACTAACTAATAAAGATGGGATCAACTACCAAAAAAAGACTTAAACTTTCACAACTTCTGGGTTTAATTTTATAAGAATATAAACTACTCAGCAATTAAGTTATAATGAACTTTCTAATGTTCAAATACATTACACTAACTTCTTCACGTCTGTCTTTCTATCTATCTATCTTATTGACATTTAAATTTACTAGTTTTTACTATATGCCTGCTATAAGGACACCTTCACAAGATAACAAAAATTTAGACTTTACTGAGTTTTAGAAAATTCTTCAATCATGCTTGGAAAGGTGAAGGGTCAGTGAAAGGCAGCAAGACCCTCAAGGAGATGGATTGACACAGAAATTGTAACAATTAGCTCAAGTTTATCAGAGATGAGGATGATAGCAAGGTTCAGACCTGTTGTTCATAGAGTCACTATGAGTCTTACTTGACTCAACGGCACCTAACACCAACAATCAGACACTGTGGTGGCAGCAGTGACAACTCGGTGGCAGAGAATCAGAGACTGGTGTGAGACAGCTCAACTAGGTTAGCTGACCCACAGAGCCTTTGGGCCTAAGCTTACTGGTGGAGTGAGGGCGGCACATCATTGGCAGAAGGAAAAGAGCTCTGTAACACTTGCCCAAGCAGGTGGCAAAACCCAAAGCCATGAGACCAAGGATCAGAGGGAGGCCTACTGAAAGGCAAGCCTGAGAAAGAGGCTATGCTGATTAAAGTACTGTGTCCTAAGTATTTCCAAACCGATCTGTAACTCTCACTTCCCAAATAAACTCCATAATTATGAAAAAAAAAAAAAAATTCTTCAAAAAGCAACCATTACAGACTACTCAGAAAAGTTTCTTAATAACATCTAGTGCTTTTAACTCAAAGGAATATAAATACCAGAATGTAAAAGATTCTGGAAACTTTTTTAGAAAAAAGGAAACAAATCAGATTTAAGAAGTTCATATGATTTTCAGATTTGACTAAGAATGAGAAAACTGTAAAATCAGTAGGAGTCACAAAATTTGAAAAGGCAAGAAAAAGTACAGGCAAATGAATTATAATTACATTTAAAGCAAAAAAAAAATTTAAGTGTTAATTCACTTATAAAACATTTTAGAATGAGGCACAGACAGAATTTTTAAAATATAAAAAGTGCTATGAAAGGGGGGGAAAACTTTTGTGGGTTTTTTTTTTATCTTTCAGTATGGCTTCCATAGCAATGTGAATCTGATTTGACCATGTGCATGGGCAGGAAAATGTGAATAGGGCATGTTGGCCTATCCACGGGGGGACTGCCCACTCTCAACAATCTGCAAGGGGATTGGTCAGTCTCACCAATAAAATTAACAGCTTTAGCTGCACAGACAGATCTTCTGCTGCCACTGAAGAGAAAAAAGGCAATGTAGTACATCTTTCTGGCTCCAGCTACACCTGTGGCCAAACTGGAGACATGATGTGAGATGGGACCGTGTGTGTAGGGGGTGTGGTGTGGTGTGGTGTGTGGTACAGCTAATACTGGCAGGACTAAGAACTTGGAAACCCTGGCGAGAAAGCTGCAAGACTCAAGGCTGAGGTGCCTGCATGCATACTTTGAGAGCTGTCTTGACTGTATTCTGTTATTAACTTGGATTATAACCTTTTGACTTCCCTAACATGTTTCTGTGAGCATTCACATCAAATTTTGGACCCAGAAAATACTAAGACTGGTGTTGAGATGAGTAGAAAGAGGCATGGGAGCATGTGTGATATCATGGGAACTGGTTTTGTGATGCTGTGGACAGGGACAGTTTCCATTTGTGAAGCTGATAAGGGTCAGATATGGCTGTCCTTACATGGCCCTTGCTCTTTTTACAACTTAAAATAGGAAAAGAAACACAAACAGAGATGTAGAAGTGTAGTATACAATGTACGGGAGTGCTAACCAAAAAGTCAGCAGTGCAAGCACAACTGCTCCACAAAATGGGCAGTTTCCTGTCAACGATTTACAATCTCAGAAACCTAATGGAAGGTTGTCCTGAATTGGAAGTAACTCCATGGTGATGAGACAGATACACCTGGTGTGTGCATGCACCCACACCCACAGAAATGTTACAGACATGTTATTAATCATCATATTAAAAATGTTTACACTTTCTTTTAACTCTCCATATCTTTAGGTCCACATTAATACTGCAGATAATTAAAATAACTTTAATATTTTATTCTAACTTCCCTTACATTTGGATTATATCATATGTTTGATAATGATTAGATTCTTTTAGAATGTACTTTCTCACCCACTTGATTTCCTGTTTTCTAGAAACACTAGGTAGACCAATAAAAACACCTAAGGCTAATGACTTATTGATAAACACTTGTCTGTAAAATACAAAACAAAAACACAATCCCTCTAACTTTAAGATTCTCCATTTCATACGATAATTCTTACAAATCATGATCTCTTACCTTTGTGGAGAGGCAGGAGGGGTGTAAAATGCCGATGAAGAAGGCTGCTTCTTCAGTGCCTGCATAAGATTGGGTTTATATTCTGGGTCAACACACCACAAAGAACATTTTCCATTAACCTACAGTAAAAAATATAAGAATTAAGACCTGGAAATTTTAGAAATGCATAATCAATGTTTAAATGCTGTTAATAAAACATGGTGGGGGGGGGAGAAATCCACTAAGATTTTTTGCATTTATATAACATAAAAAATTGACATGAGCCTGGTATGCATACACTGGAGTATTAAAAGCCCAGGAGCCATACTGCCCAAGTTCTTATATCCACCTTGGCTACACAGAGGAAAAAAAGGTCTTCTGGTAACTGTTATATGAAATTTTTCAAGAAAAGTAAAAGATTGACATATGGGTATATAGTAAGCTCTGGTGGCCTAGTAGATAAGTATTTGTCCTACCAACCCTAAGACACGTGGTTTGAACTTACCAACTGCTCTGTAGGAGAAAGATGGGCAATCTCCTCCTGTGTGATTTACTGCCTCTGAAAACCCATTGTGTGGCAGCTATTACTTGGTTCTGACTCAATGGCACACAATAACAGCACATTGTATGCACGTATGTTGTTGTTAGGTGTAGAGTTGAGTACAACCCATAGCAACCCTACAAACAACAGATGTGAATCCTGTCCTATCCTGTGCCACCCTCACACTTTCTGACACACTAGAACCCACTGTGGCAGTAACTGTGTCAATCCATCTGCTTGAGTTTTCCTCTCTTTTTGCTGATCCGCCACCTTTCCAAGAATGATGTCCCTCTCCAAGGAACAGCCTCTCATAGAAACATGCCTGAAACAGATGAAGCTTTATCATCTTTGCCTCCAAGGAAGGATGCTGCACTTTGTCCAAGACATATTTGTTTGTTCTTTTGGAAGTCCATGGGACACCTAATACTCTCTCCACAATACAGTTCAAAGGCATCAATTCTTCTGTCATCCTATTCATTAATCAACTTGGATCCACAATTAATACCCTGGGTAACAGCAGTCAGGAAATCAGGGGATATATTTTACCAGGAGAGTCTGAAGTCAGAGACTTCCCCAAATTATTTAGAAGCAATGATGTCAGTTTAAAGACTCAGATGTGTTGGATTCAGGCCATGTTTTTTTTTCTGATCACTCGCTATGTATTTGAGAGCTGGATACCAGAAGATGATATGTATATATGCAAACATATATGTATCAACGTATGTATCAGTGTACACACATACATTCATATATATATATAATAAAGCACATAGGGGACAGCCTTATGAATACTTCTTAGAATAACCCATTACGTTACTGGGTGGCTTTTCTAGTTTGAAGGCTCAGGACCATGTTATTGTTATTAAGTGCAGTCAAGTACAATTCATAGTGAACAAAAGATCTGAACCCTTTCCTATTCTGTGCCATCCTCATTGTCTATGACATGCTTGAACCCACTGCTGCAGTCACTATATCAATATATTTTGTTGAGTCTTTCTCTCTTTTGCTAACAAGCACCATGTTCCTTTCCAAGGAATAGCCTTTCCTAACAATATGTCCAAAGCATGTAAGACAAAGCTTCATCATCCTTGCCTCCTGAGGAACACTCTGACTACACCTTTTCTAAGACATATCAGTTTGTTCTTTTGGCAATCCATGGGATAGTGACAGTTCTCCAACACCAAAACTCAAAGGCATCAATTCCTCTGTCATCTTTATTTACTGTCTAGCTCTCAGATGCATAGTAGGTGACTAGAAAGACTATGGCTTGAATGAGGTATGCCTTAGTATATAGGTAGGTAGGTAGGTATGTATTTAGGGCTTCAAGGCCTTTATTAAAAAAATGTGAAAAGCTTCACGAATTTGCATGTCATCCTTGCACGGGGCCATGCTAATCTTCTCTGTATTGTTCCAATTTTTGTTATGTGCTGCCAAAGAGAGCACAGATATGCCTTAGCTTTTAGACTGACTCTTCAGGACTCTGGAGAGGTCACTGACAGCCGATTTTCCCAATGGTATCTATATCTCTAGATCTCTTGCTTGCTGATACCAAGGGATGATTGCTGATCCAAGCAAGATGAAACTGCTGACAATTTCAATCTTGTCTGCATCTATCATGAAATTTCCCATTGGTGAGGATTTTTCTTTTCTGGATGTTGAGATATAATCTATATTGAAGGCTGTAATCCCTAAGTACATACCTGAGTGTCTCAAGTTCTCCTCGCTTTCAGCAAGGAAGGATGTGCCATCTATATAATGTAGGCTGTTGGTAAGTATTCCTTCAATCTTGACACTGTATTCTTCTTCATAAAGTTCAACTTTTCAAATTATTTGCTCAACATACAGATTGAATAGGTATAGAGAAAGAATATATCCCTGATCTCTATCTTTCCTGATTCTAAACCCTACAGTGCTCCCTTGCTCTTTTTGGACACGAGTTTCCCCGTCTAGGTATAGGTTTTGTCTAAAGCATTAATAAAGTGTTTAGAATTCTCATTCCTCTCAATGTTAGGTATAATTTATTATGATCCATACAGTCAAATGCATTTGCATAGTCAATGAAACAAAAACAGACATTCTTCTATATTCTCTGCTTTCAGCCAGGATCCAACTGGCATCAATAATGTTATCTCTCGGGTGCCATGGCCTTTTCTAAATATAGCTTGAACTCCTGGCAGTTCCACTACTCTGTTCTAACCATTTGTGGATGATGTGCAGCAATATTTTGTTTGTGTGACATATCGCTCAAATAATTTTCATGTTCTGCTGGGTAGCCTTTAGAAAGCTTGGTCAAACGGCACAATATCATTCGAAAAGCTCATGCCCTACATCTTAGTCCGGTGAGTTCTGTTTTATGTTGCTCCTAATAGCTGTGAGCAGCCGCCTAAGCATGACTGTTGGTCTCTAATCATCTAGAGCAAAAGAGAAAGAAATAATAAAAATCTAATGCTCAGAAAAGAAACGTGTTTACAGGACAAATACTCTATAATAAACTACAGCCACATAAAAGCCACAACAGGCAGGCCAGATAGAATGGGCGGAAAATGTTGAAAAGAACTTGAAAACCTTTTTTTAAAAATCCAGATTTAATGGGTCCATTGAGACAGGGGGCCTCCCAGAAATACTCTTTAGACCTTGGAGCTGACATTGTTCCTGAAGCCATTGCTTAAAGCTAAATAAATAACAGATTGGTTCACCAAATAAAGGACCAAACAGGGTAGAAAGAATGAGACTGTTCATGCATTTAAAGACTGTATGTTGTGACAAATATGCACCATAAACAATGAGTAAAACTGTTGCAGTAATCCAACAGGTTGTGTCTATTTTCACCAAAAACTTACTCTAGCTTTATTTTTAAAGCTAGTCATTTTCATTATGGAAAGCCAGAATGGAAAAAATAACTCTATAACAATATCTCCTCTCAAAATGATAATATATTAGGTATTGCATCAAAGCATAATTTTTATAGTTACTTAAGACAACTCTCTCTCTCTCTCTAGAAAACAAAGGTTTTTAAACCAGCACTTAATTGAAAGCATAGCAAAAATCTTAAAGGCTAAAACTGCAAATAATCAAGGAAGCACTCTCATAAAAGATTTAAAAAAAGATGAAGCATCATTCCTTCCCTCACACAATTAATTTACAATTACTTTTGAGGGATGATAGCAATGAGCATAAACGTCTAGATTCAAAAGGAAAACAACATCCCAAACTCACATGCACTGTCAGAGAACTTCTTCTGAATCATAACAACCTCACAGAACAAAGCAGAATTGCCTCAGAGGGTTCCCAAGTTTATAGCCCTAAGAAGAATACAGCCACATCTTCCTCTTGTAGAACAACCCATTACTGCTGCAAACAAGAGAAATCAGAAACAGAGATTTTCCACTAAACTTCAGAAGTGTCTGAAAGAAGAGCTTGCCTAGTCCATGAATTCTCTAAGATGAGGAAACAATTTACCAGGAAAGAAGACAATTTCACCAACATGATCTAGCTTGCAAGGGAAAAGGCTGCAATGTGGGATGACTGGTTGAGGAACATCCATCAGGGTAAATAAAAGTTCTTTCCCATTTAGGAATCATTAGTTGAAGCCAAACTGGTAATGTGAAATCAGAATTAAATTAGAGCATATTGTTAGTGCTTCCGCCAGTGTTACTGTTCATCCCACTGTCTATGTGCCTATGACTATACATCTTATGGACATTTCATTTCCACTCTGTGGCATGAAGGACGACAGACAATTCTGAAACAAGTACACAGGTCTACAAAGTCTTGAAAAGAAAGATGCCATCTATCTAAGGCAACCACAGGACACCACTTACATGTATCCTCAAAAGAACGCGCTCCCCAAGCACAGGCGATAAAGCCCCAGTTAACACACCTATGGAGGCACTGTAGAGGCCACACTCCTCCTGAGCTACTCCCAAGCAGTGACTGAGTCCAGAAGGGTTACTAACTGGCAACCTTTGCATAAAGACTCCCTACTGGTTGGGCCAAGATTTCCTTAGAACCACATAAGAGACAGCACTAAGTTTCCCGAGTGTCTTTCCTTTCACAGGTGGTTGAGAATTTTTCCTGCCTCCGCCTGTCCCTCTTCTCTTTACCCTTCACAAACGTGTATCCCAGTATATCTCTCAAATGTCTACTCACATTGTGGTGTCTGCTTCTCAGGCTCAGCAGCCTAATAAATATATAAAATAGGGTCTAGATGAACTGTATCAAGGGGTTCCACACAAGCCCTTGTGACTTACTGTAGGTGTCTGACGCAGGAGCGTTCTTCAGACATCTTCCTTAGGGACAAACTCCACACAGCAAGGGGAGCTCTGGCGGCATGGCTGTGGGAGCTGTGCTGGTAACTCCAAGGTTATGCTGCGCCTCCCTGGCAGTTTGAATCCACCAGCAGCTCCGAGGGAAGATGGGAAATCTCCTCTCATGGATTTACAGTCTCCGCAAATGGGCGGGAAGGTAAGCTATGCGTGGGGTCTGACGCGGTGGCAGTGAGTCTGAGTCTGCAGACTGAGGTGTATTTGTGGAGTTTTTAAACTCACTTCAGAGTCTGGATCAACTAAAAGTGCCAACTGCTACCAGGGAACAATCCTC